GATTCTGAAGAAGGAGTAACACAATATTGAAAATTTTTTTTTTTTGTATTTAGAAATGACATATAAACACCATCATTGATTATCACACATCCTATTCCAATAGTTTTAGTTGCTGTAAAAGTGCCTCATCCATATTCAGAAGTGCTCCCAACTTTTTGCCAACACCAAATTGCACTCACCAGATATCACTCAAACTTCCTTATCTGGTTTAGTCCACATATAAATGCCACATCTCTATTTGGAAGTGCACCCGATCTGTGTCAACCCCCTAGTACAGTACAGTACAAGATAGGGGGGGGGGGTACAGTACTCGACCAGTAAATTATCTATCCCACGAAACGTTCCCGCCTGGCACTAGAGCTAAACAACTGGTGTTTCATTACATCATACTTGTACTATACTATACATAGCACAGTACTAGTATCTAACCACTCCCTTTTTCTATGGTAATATCATACGTGGGCAGTTCGTTTTGGAAATTAATAAATAAGGTCACCGTTTGGCACGCTAGGTGTGATAAATGTTGATTTTTTGTGGCATTTTTTCCCTCCGTAAAGATTAAATTCGAGCTGTGTTTTGCATGCATAATTAGAATTAAAAATTTAATGTCAAATTTTTTTTTTTTTTTTGTTGAGTCTAGGCCATCCTCGCCCATACAGCAACAATACCTGCTATTTTTTCTTTCAAGAGCTTGGGGTCTAATCGCTGTTTCTGACGAAATTTGGTTGTCCAAGTATGATAAATGGGGGAGAGAAAAAAACCGTTCGAGTTTGGCATCACAATCACACCATACAGTACTTGTACTTTTTTTGTTTCTTTAATTATTTTTTGCGCGCTAGCATGTGGATCTACTACGGGGCACGGTTATGGACATCCTATCATTACCAACACGCCGAGACTCGCTGGAGGGAAGAGGACCTAGTCTAGACTCTGGAGCGAGAGCACATCACTCAACAACCTTCGTTTTTTAGAATATTTACAAAGCCAGGGCGCAGATCTCTTACGAAAAACCCTTCACGAAACGGCAAAGTTTCCGGGGGCTGGTCGGTCGATCATATTTCATACCGGTATGCGAAACGGGAACCGCATACGTGTGATTGTATATGGGAACTCGGATACCCGTAATCGGACCCTGCGCTGACCCGGGGGGGCGTCGGGGTTGCCTCTCCTGGTGATTTTGATTAGTTTTTTGGTTGTTTTTTTTTCTCGCCCCCCTTCCCGGTTGGGTAGATATTCCGGGCCATCCGTACTTGTATGATAGCGAGCGCGTGGTCAGTTACTTATCCAGGTTCTCATGGCACGACATGGTCCAGCATCAGGACGTGCCCCCGGGTGCATAGGTCGAGCGGGCACGCATAGGAGTACCGGTACGGCATTTGGACGCAGTAGAAACGTCGATTGATTAAACCCGAAATCGCGCGTGGTGGCTGGGTGGTGGCAAACTCCAGCGAATATCTGAAAGAACCGAGTGAGTACTGTACCGGTACGAGTATGACACTGTACAGTACCCATGACAACGATCCTCTAGAGTTTGTGGGATCCGTGTTAAAATTTCCTCCACCTTATGGGGGTACAGTACAGTACTCGAGTGCGGTGGTCGAGGATGGTCTACGGGTCAGGGAGACTTGAGGTTGAGATTAAGACTGTTCGACGCCACATAGTGGCAGACTCGCCTTTTTCACCACTCTTGTCCTGGGCGCATTCGCCCGATTTCCCGGTTTAATCAAATTAACATGCTGCACTCCACAGAAATGCGGATATTAGTCCGTGGGCTTTTTTTCATCCCCACACTGATCGCACAACTACTTGTATGATATTGGTATGGATAATTGCCAGGCCAAAAGTGCAAAAGTAATCCGAATGTCTTAGGGTAGCTTGGTAGAGTACTCCAGTATGGATCGATGGAACGTGAAACAGGTAGGTGAAATTGCTCGAGTATTGCGTGGGTGCGGGTGAGCTAATCAATCGGTTCCCTCGCGTGATGGGATAAGTTATGCATGCATCGAAGGGGGGGGAAGGCGACCGTGCGATTATCATACTTGATCGCGATATTGTACGAGTAAATGGATGGTGGGGAGGGAGGGAAGGAGGGGAGCTTTTTGTATCGATCTTCAACATGGAGAGACGATGCAAAAGGGGAGAGGAAGAAGACATCGAGGATTTGCCGAGGGCCCGGTAGTGGGCTCTCTCCCCTCTGTGATATGATAAGTTACCGTTGTCGCATTATCGTCTGGCAGTACAGTACGGTAGCCATCACGCGCCAGCGCGTCAAAGGAGCGGCCGAGTTGAAACTTAACGGTTGCGTCAAAATCACACAGCTCTGAAGGGTTCAGTCCTGGCTATAAGGGGTTAGGTAGGATGTGGCCCTTGATTGCGATTCCGAGCTAGAGTAGGGACAAAAATCCTATCTGAACCTACTAGCACCCGATGGTTATGGCCAAATTATGCGGCGCTGATAACTGTACTAGTACGGTACGAGTACTCGTACAGCAGGATGGGGAAAGAACTGTCTAGTACGGGTACGAGTACCGGTATCGCATCATAAACCACCACATCGTATCGTACGTAAAATTTTATCCTCTTGGCTGTGAGATACGGCGGAGCATCAGCATCTGCAGTGGTGCCACAGGTACAACAGTGGGTGGTGCGCTCCGCCCGATGTGGAAAAATGAAATGGAGCAGATACCAAATACCGGGTATGATACTGTACGAGTACCATACCGGTAATCTCCACTGGGGGCACCAAGAAAACCGGGCGGATGACTGACAGTGGGTACAGTGCTCGTCCCTGTGGATGAATTGGCAAAAGCAGGGTAACAGGAAATTGTTTTCCACTGATAGCTGTCAGCACCCGCCGAGTTCCGTCGGACCCCCCCCGGGTTGAGGGCCCCCCGGCTTACCCGAATATCTATCGTTTTTGTGCCATAGCGACATCGCATTATGGGGGTAAGTAGGATGGGAAAAGCAAGAAAGGAAGAAGAAGAAGAAGAAAAAAAGAAGAGGTTTGTTTTTGAAACAGCCTTCCTGTACCGGTTCGGTATATGCTTCCAGAAGCGCGCGTGGCTGTCTGGAACATCTTCGATCTTTGGAGGATGTGAGGGATTACTAGTTATGGTCAGCGGTTGATCGCGGTAACCTTCTTGAATTGATATGACACTTTATGAAACCGTATCATAAGTTACTTATGGATGGATGGAGGGAATTACGGTAGGACACTGTGCTTTAAGGTGGCTGCGGATGCGAACACGGTATCATACCTGGCCCTCGAGGCACAAGTAACGTTGCAGCAGCGGGGGGGGGGGGGAAGTGAGCGCAGTACTCGAGTACCGTACCTTTACCAGTATGAGGGCTGAGATAAGACAGAGGATACCGTTAATAATATTATATCATATTATACCTGTGATACTGGTAATCCGCTCAGGGCAGGGGGCAACCCAGGTAGCACTTGTAAGAGGAAAGTGTCTGCCGTCAGTAATCACCCCGAGATGCTCGTTTTTCATTTTGTTCTTTATGATTGCGCTATGCGAGGGTAGGGCCTTTGGTATTAAGTTAAGGTGTGGAGTGCCGGTATTAAATCATGGACATATGGTACCGGCATTCTACCGGTGCTATGGCTAGCTGCTTGTAAAGTTGCTGCGGAGAGCGCTCCGTGGATCCGAGAACTGAGACCCAGGTCAGCGGAGACCGGTTGCATACGATGGGTGATTGATATGGATGGGGATGGGTCGGCAAAGTGCCGGTGCCGTGAGAACTGGAATAATTGAGAATCTTGAGAGGACGTTGGAGTTGCCTCTCCTAGTAAGGTCTGTCCCAACCAAGTGCTGAAAGGGAAGGTACTGTACTCGGATACTGTACTCTACAAGTACTCGAGCACCGGTATGAGTATGATGCTTTCGTCATGTTTCTCCCCTTAATCCAGAGTGGGAAGTTCTGGACATCATAGCGTGATTCTCAATTACAGTACGTTATTCCAATTTTGGCGGCAAAGCAAGTGGATGAGGATTTGTGACTAGTAGTTATTATGTTCCAACTCAAAAATTTCACAATGCGGCATGTGTCCTATGTCTGCCTGTCCTGCGCCCCGGGCGATCTTGAGCGGAGGGGACCGTAAATTGATAACGAATGAGGGTGCGTGTTGTGCGGGGGAGGAATGCCGCACCGTAAATTTAGGGTAAATGCTGGTATTACCTGCATAGTATCATAGTTACAATACGGTAGTTACACTAAAGGCTCATCAAACTGATAGAGCCTTGTTGGATATGGTTCTCGGAGGCTTGTCGGCGCCATCTCGCTTCTCGAAGGTGATTCGGTTCGCATGGGTGATGGAGGGGATTGCCCTCTACAGTACCTGTCCTCGAGGACGGCCGGACTAGAGGTGGTCCACAGCTTCGACGAGGTCCATCTCTCGGAACAGTTCGAGGGAATGTTGTAGAATTGCTAGATTGTTCCCTTCCACGACGCTGATAATCCCACCCTTCAAGACCCCTCACCCCCCATCCTTCCATTTGTCCCGCAATGTCAGGATTTTGCACTCGTGTGTCCCGTACCACCGCCGCCGCCTTCTCCCAGCCCAGCGCTAGTCCCCCCCTCCCCCCTTCCATGAAGGATGAATCCGGCAGAGGAATTCAGCTGCGGGCTTGAGAAACCTTCAAGTTATGCGAGTTTTTCAAGTTGAAGGGCTTTGGTGTGGTGTGACGCCTTATTTGCATACAAATCCGGCGGATCTAATTGAAATTTGGCTCTCGGTGAAGACCTTTCTAACTCTAGGCCTGAATGCCTCGGTTAAAGAATGGCACCCTTGCTTTTCTGCAGCTGTTTTATACTCCAGTTGACTAAATTTACCCACCTTGGCATCGGTGCCCGGAGCTTTGTACAGTACTAGAGGAGGGGGAAAGAGCGCAAGGGTGGATGTCATTTCCAGCCACACCTGGTTATATTACCCCAGCACCCCCTCCCTCCCCCACATGGAAAACGTGTCTTGCTCTACCATTCCTGGGCGTGCCATGCTTCACCACTACAAGTAGCGCACCCGCCTCTCTAGACCAAACCCACACCAACCAAACTCCCCAAGGATCCGGCCATGTATTGGAAGGAGAGAGGGTGATAATAGAAATGGTACAAGTCCTCGCTCTTCCTTCGTATCTCTGCCTATTGAACTACCGGTACACTTTCTAAAGAAGACCTGCTTGGACACTACTACTAATACTTGGGGAAAAGCTTGTCCTCAACCACCACCATATCCTCCCCCCCCCCTTGGGTAAATCAGGACACCCCCCCATGCCTTCGGGCTACGACGTTTGGCAGAATATATCACGAGTGGTAACTCTGACACTGGCTTGCTAGCTCTTATCTTGTTTTTTGCTTCCTTTCTTCAAACTTGACTTTCCTCCCTTCCTTCTTCGACACAGTGTAGCCCGGGCTCGGCTTCTTTTTTTTTCTTACGCACACATCCACCACTTCCTTTTCCATTCCATTCGGGGCTTGACTGAATATAATTAAATACTTGCGCTTGGAGAGCATTCGATAGACTCTCTATCTGGAAGAGGGAGAACGGGAGCAATGCGAGTGAGCAGCCTCATATTCCGCTGCTGCCATCTGTACCGGATTTCGCAGCTGACGTCTGAGTTCTCAGTATCTGCCGCCTACCTGCCTGATCTTACGATAGACTTAAAGGTGTAAATCTCACCCGCCAAACTCCCAAAAATCTCCCTCCGTGTCCAATTCGACTTGTGAATTGTCACTCTGTATATGGGTGTCGACTGCGGCCTACCGGCATTGGAAGACAGACAACTCTCTTCGAGAGAAAAAGCTACAAGATGCAGGAGCTGGATACGAACACGCTTGTGGCAACATATGTATGCACCATTCTGGCATTGATTCTGATATTCGTGCGGCTTGGGCTTCGATGTCGTCGAAAGGAGGGAATGCGCGTGGACGATGTATGGATGGGCATCTCGTTGGTTCCTCTGATCGTCCGATTGGGGGTTATTCACGTTGTGCTGGCCTATGGAACGAACAATTTCTCTAGGAAGGCACATCCTATTGAGGATATAAGCGAGGTGGAAATAAGGCAGAGATCTATGGGGAGCAAGATGGTTCTTGCTGGGAGGGTATTTTACGCTGGATTGTGGGTTTTTGCTTTCTCTCTGTTTTTGTCGGCCCAAATGTTGAATGAGGAGGACGAGATGGAATGGGATTGATTTGTTGACGGAGAGAGTAGTGTTTGGTGCATGAAGGTTTGTGTGTTGGGTTTCTATGAACGGTTGACCGCGCGTTCGAAGCCGTATGGACTTTTGATCGATATTACATACGTTACTCTTTTCTTGACCTATGTGGCGGTCGTTTTCGTCACGTTTCTTGAGTGCCGGCCGTTCCCAGTGTGAGTCTTAACCTTTTTATGCCATTATTCAAGATCTTGCTAACATCGACACAGATATTGTAGGAAGATACCTAGTTCCTGGAATCCGTTTGAAATTAGCCTCATAATATCGATGACCAAGTGCTAACATAACTCTTTCGACATGCTCAGGGCAGATGATACCCGACCCAGGACGTGAGTCTTTCCTGACCCGATTGTGGGGAATTATGCTGATTGAGTATCCAGGTTGCGTACAGGCAGTTGCGCAGCTAGTGACAATGGGTTCCCTCAATATTTTGACCGATGCAGCCCTTATCCTTATTCCTTTACCCTTGGTCTTTAGAGCTCGTCTCCCGCTCATCAGGTACGGTTCTCTAGAGATATCACCCGGTGATAGAGGAGATACTGACAAACAACAGAAAGATCCAATTGTTCCTCCTCTTCGGCGTTGGTATGTTCGTCGTCAGCATAACAATGATCCGCATGCCCGTGATTATAAACGACAAATCTGCACAAAAAGCTCGGACGCTGGTTCGTGACAGCCCCCCACACCTCCTTCCGGGGCCCTGCCAAGTCGCATATTAACTCACCTTTCACTTAAAACAGTGGGCATCAATAGAGTGCCTAGCAGCCTGCGTAGTCGCCAACGCACCGGTCCTGAACTCGCTCCTCCGACGGAAGGTGAAAAAGCCCAGGTGCGACGAGTACAACATCTCGGCGAATTCGCGGCGACGGAGGATGCCTGTGACAGGCCAGGATAGTGTTGGTTCGCTGACGAGGAATGATGGGAGCGATGGACTTGGTTCTGTTATTGAGGTATCTTGCTCTTTTTAGCTTTAGAGAGAACGGAAAGTGAAATGAGGGCTAATGGCGATAATGCGGGCAGACGCGCACGGAAGTTGTTCAAAAAATAGACATCGATCCGTTGGAATCTAGGGACCGTTCGGGAGTCACACGCTCACCGTGGCGTGGGGATTTCCTAGGAACGCAGATATGGACTGAACAAGATAGGTATGGCTTCCCCGCGTGGCCTCCTCCCGCGGTCGCAAGGGATAGGGTTTGATGCTTTATTACTTCTATCTTACAAGGCATGTTCTGGTTTTTATCTTTTTTTTTTTTTTTTTTTCAACCCATCATAATATTATTTCCTTTTATCATCTCATCCTCGACGCGGCGGGTTTTTGTTTAAATGTGTGCTATGGCTTGGGCTCCTTCTCTTGTTTTGTTGGCTTTTGGTTTCTTTTGTCCGGGGTAAGGGGAGCATGACATTTAGTCTTTGGCGTTTGATCATGGCGTTTTGTTTTTAATTTTTTCCCCCTCCTTCCGTGCTTGATACTTGTGGACGGATTGGTGGCATGGGAGGAAGGGAAAGGGACACATTCGTATGGGGTTGAATTGGAGGGAGGTGTACACTGCCCTCCTGTAGTATCAAAAACCTTCGGGGAGCCCTTCGGCACTGGGAATGGGAAGTTTTGTCAGAAGATGGGAAGGAAATCCAGGGGAGACGTATTGTATTGTGATAATCACCACCGTCACGTCGTTCTTTGCACTGAATAGACGGATAGAGGGCGGGCAGGTGAACGTGGGATGATAATATGGGATTGTACAGTACCATGTGTTTGAGTTAGAAACACATAGTAACCCTATTTGCATAACTGCCTCCTACTTTAGAACAATGCATAACACGCATGCGTACTTGGCGGGAGGCGGTGCAAATAGAGTTTATTACCGGTAAACGGATGAGTAAACAGATAAACAAAAAGCCCAATGAAGAAAACGAGAACACAGTCCCGCACCGGACGGCCACGGTATCCCCCAGAGCGCTGAGAGTCACCCGGAAATTCACCGCCACCCCCCGCTACCATTGGGGCAGAGATAGCCAAGATACTATCATACCTTAGTATCCTCTAGTGATGAGAAGCACTCAACTCTAAGAGATCTTTCACGAATGGTACAAAGATATCGAAATTTACATTCCCTCATGTCTAGAATATATTCTATTGTTGTACAGTACTGTACATTATGTAATTACCAGATTGGGTTATGTACTGTACAGTATCATACCGTAACATTGGAGTATCATACCGTAGCCATATTACTCGCTAGCTCATTCGCCATCCAAGACAATCCAGAATCCCAACCCTGCCACGGCCTCTCTGAAATCACAGCTATGGTACTTGTAATAATAATATTATCATATCTTTTATGTATCCATGTTGTCATACCCGGGAGAGGTGAAGTGTTGGAGCTTTCGGTCTTAGAGGCGCAAGGGTTAGGGTTCCACCTCCAGATTGCGAATGAACTGGCAGGCTCGTACTGTGCCGGGGCTCGAGATCAATTTTTATGATACTGGTAGCTTTTATAATATTTGGGACTAAATTTGAGAAAGGGTAAGTTAGACTTTTTTGATTCCACTGTTAAAACAATCCTTTTACCCCCCAATCTAAAAAGATGAGAAACATCCTGTAAACTATGATACCTTTTCCCAATTGGACTCTGTAACACTGCAGCCCTTGTTTCCAAGGATGGAGAGGCGCGATGATGGGAATGCTAAACTCCCACCCACTCGCTGGGCCGGCGATTATTAACCGGCAAAACCCTACTCCGTGTCTTTCTATCATACTATGATACAGCTCGGCGTTATGCCAATTCACTAGCACCCGTGGGGAGAAAAAATCAAAGCAGCGAAGTGGCCCCTTAGCACGGCGTTACTGCCAGATGTAACCGACAAACACATCTATACTGTTCTAGGGATTGGGTCCCAATTCGTGATCATTGCGGTTGTCCGAGAACGTGTTTGGCGCTATGGGGGATATAAGTTAGTAGTAATCCCCGATCATGCCTCCTTCGCAGCGCTCATATGAGCTGCTGGCGGGAGAGCGACTGGAAACTACGATACGACGAGGAAGTAAACTCACATTTAATACTTAATTTGATCGTCACGGGGTAAGTCGGGATTGTGTCGATCCACTTTGGCAATTTTTAAGAATGCCATATTGTGAGAACCTACTTATCGGATATCGTAGGAGTATTTACTCGAGTAACTCTTGCTGCACCCGCCCTAATGGAAAGTAAGTCGTGGTATCTGACCGTAAACTTGGGCATAATTCCCCGAACGGGTTTCTCGTATCATAAGTCGGGAATATAGTAGTAGTAGTACTTCTGTGTTCTGCACTTATAAATGTGCTGTTTTGTTTTTTCTTTTACCATCGATTATTTTTCCCATGGCTGTTTCACCCAAACACGACTGGGATTTGTTGTCACTGACTAGTGATCGATATCTGGCTTGTGGTTTCTGTTCTCTTGGGGACGTATGATACCTACTCCTATGACATAGTAATAAGCATAGCGCAAGCTGTCGTTCTTAAACAGAAAGAAATCGCCTACTGGCAGAATGGGCAAGCAGTAATTCCCATGCCATCGTTATGTGAAATGCCTAGCTGGGGGGGTATCTAATGCGTCAAGAACTAATTAACCCTTGTGCACTTGGCAGGAGTCCAGGAGTTCAATTTCCGCTTATAAATGAGCCTGTCTCAGTAGAAAACCCACTCTCGGGCAAAGTTGTTGTTAGCAGAAAAGTACATGGCAACCAGAGTGACCCGCAAAAAAATATTTTGATATAGCATTAGTTTTATAATAACACAAACTTTAAACTACTACTATACACTCAAAAAAATTCAATAATTTATTTGAATGCTGTACAAGTTAGTTTGACACTTCCGCTACAATTCTATGAACTTAAACCTTTTAAAACCAACTAAACTACATACTTTTCCTTGCCTTTTTGTTTTTAGACCCAGGTGGACAGCCTCTTCTCTTTAGAATATTAGTTGAACTCTCACCTTCTATACTTGAAACAGCTGCTTTATCATTGTGCTTATCTCCTATGTCTTCTATGGTTCTGGTAATTGGCCCTGAGTGGAATGTATTTACATTACCTGATTGCTTGATTCTTCCAACTTTGACTAACTGAGCTTGTTGAATAATATCATGTGAGGGCTTGGTATATAGCCATGTAGATTGAATATGCTCTGGAGCATAAGAACTGTACTTACTCCATATATTAAACAGCTTCTCAGGCTTCAAACCAATTGGCTCCAGCTCTCTTGGTGCCAGAGTACTCATTTGTTCCAATGTTATTTCTGACTTAGTAAGATCAAATTGCTTCCACTCATCTAGTGGAAGATTCTTTGCCAATATGGTACCTGGGAATTCCTTAAGAAAAAGGAAGTTATGAAAGCCTTGAATTCCTTTTAGTGGCTTGAAGAGTAAATTAAGTGATTCTTCCCAATCAAAGAATACCCCATAATCTGCTCCATCATCAAAGAGATTAACTAGTTTAATTAGATCATTGGAGGTAGAACTTGCCACAGCTGCACTATAATCCCATGGAGTCCAGATATTCTTTCTTGAAGCATTGTACTTAGCTGTTCCAAATCCACGATCCACTGAGTTTCTAGTGTGACCTTTAACTTGAAAGCAGAGTTCTACACTGTCTGTCCACCCCTGTTAGACTAACCAGCAGAGATACGCTGTTATTGTCTTGTTCTTATTTTGGCCTAATTATCTGCCCAAAGATATATATGGGACTTCATCTTACCTCCAGATGTCAAGTAATAGTGAAGGAGAGATACTACCTGATTTGGGCCTTTTGGTTGCTGTGTCTCAGTATATAGTAGATGGGGATGCCGATTATGTTTCTTATTCTCATCGACAATTCTAAATGAATACAACTTAAAAGGTGAAAAGAAGTACCATTGACCAGGCTGTTGAGGGAGCTTTGGTATCTCAATTACCTGCTGGAAGTCAAATGAATAGCAAGCTGTATCCTTTGGATAGCATGTCACTTGTAAGATAGTGGCCTCATAAAAGTCTCTATACTCTTGATATTCCTTACGATGTTGATCAAGTTCCTTTTGAGTTTGTATTAGCTTCTCATTATGTGCAACCTTACCTTGTATTCTGTTAGTTCTCTCGGGAGAGCGGAGCTTTCCTTTTAGAATTGTACAATGATCACAAATGTCTTTAGCAGGGGTTCAGATACACATCTTCTTGAATCTTTTACTTCTCTTCCAATATCAGTCAAAGCTGGCAAGTGATATAGACTGTCTGTTAGGCGGAGACAACTTGATAGACTTCAAGATTGTCTAGGCCAATCGAGATTCAATTTTGTAGACGGAGATTGTCTAGGAAGGCTCAGACTTGGCTCGTTTCGTTTATGACTACTAGGAGCGAAGTAAAGTAGGTAAAGTAGGGTAGAATCGTAAAAACAATATTATATTGTTAAGGTCTCTTCTTCGTTGCTTGATGATGTCTAAAGCTTGGGAGGCACTTCAATATTTATATTCCGTGTCTGAGTGTTCGCAGACTACATCTATTTATCATACAACTATGTACTTCTTCAATCGTATTTTGCAACGTCAAGTTTTCTTCCAAGGTGCGAACACCTGTGGACCCTGAAAACCATCACACCCTCTTCGGTAATTACGATATTTCTTCTTAGGAAGTGTGCTGCCCCCAATAGTAATATCCCGATTAGCGGAGTTTTTAGATTTATGGCCTAGTTCTTAAGTCGAACTGAGTTGGCTCCAATTGTCTTCGCCATTGATAAAATGATGAGTTTTATCCACGGCTATATCTGCAAAGGTGGTTGTCATTACAACCATCGTAGGTCGTCTGACTCCAATCCTTTGTAACTCCATACCCAACCAATAGATTTTCTTTGGATGACTTCCTATTAACTCGCAGGAAGCTATTCCACCAGATTGGTAATTAATCCCTTGGTCGGCAACCCTTGGTTGCTCTCTGGGTAGTAGGTTTCAGTAATCATTGTAGTATTGGGAATCATCCCAAGACTACGACGTGTTCCGAAACCCAGTCACAATACTCCGTGAAGTTCGTTGGCTTCTTTGGTAGTGTCTTTTGGAGTTCTAGACTCTTCTGGTATATGTAATTGTATTGGTCTCTAGTAGAGATCCTTTACTATTTGATACCATCTCTTTGTGCGAAATCGTCCCGTTACTTACGGCCTATGTCAAAGGTGTCATGTCTTTGAAGCCAAGTAACTCTCTGAGTAGTTGATGGAATTACTCCGTTTTACTTCCCAGACCTAGCCGAAGGTCCCCTCTCATATATCCTGCGAACAGGATCCGGTCAGATGGACGACGACGATGTATGTGGTGTTATTCTAACACCTTCAATTTTGTGGTAATATAGTCACAGGATGCAACTGAGATTGAT